CACATGCAATCATCAGTCCACCCCACATAATCTTGCTGTCACGTTGAGTGTCCACTGCTTTTTCTTATACAGTTTCTACATGTTAAGTTGAGCAATTTTACATTAACTGGTTCTGTGGACCGGAAGCCCATTTATCTCTCCTAATTTCTTTGTAACCTCTCAAAAATTATGCCCTCCCTTATTTTGCATGAATATCAGATCTAGATCCTAAAGAGCAATGTGCATGCACCACATTAAATTCTCTAAATAAAGGTGTTGTCATACTTTAGAAAGTCACTTTAGGCTGTCAAAGCATTCTTCCTTAATACTTTGCAGGAATGGCCAGAGTACATGGTTTCTCATACTTGTTGACCTTCACAGATGGTTTTTTATGATCCAAATTTAGATGAGCCTGAGCTGAGTATGGGCACATATTCTGTTGTAGAGCTGTAAACAAGGTGTGTCTGTTACCTAGGAGACAGTGACCCTCAGAGCAGGTGCTGGTGGGGCACACCAGCCCACACACACAGTTGTATCCTCACATTTCTCTCCAGTTTCTGCTTCTTCCTCATCATGTTTCTACACAGTTTGCCCTGTACCCCTCCTCCAATCTTCCTTCTCAGTGTGGGGAACCATCAGTGAAGTAGATTTGAATAGCAAGAACTGAGGACAGGTCAGCTTATTGGCACAATGGGTAACTGCTTCCTTAATAACTAAAAGGAGGTGAAAAGGCAGGGTTAAGAACCAGCTCAAGTTCTGGGGTCTCGTTCAAAGCCACTCATATCCAGCTTGCAGGTTAGGACCTCCTCTGGTCCCTGTCCTACAAGGAGGACCATGGAGGAAAAAGGAGATCCACAGTGTGGAGATATAGTGTGGCCTCCACAATCCCAGTACCCAAAATGTAGCTCCTTCCTGGCCCATAGTTGTGACCTGCCAGTACCTGGCACAGACAGTAGCCTCCAAGGGCTCCCACAGACTCCACAGACTCCTTGAGAATACAATACATTTAAAATACTACATTCTCTTCACTGGGGATGAACCTGAGGAAAGAGTTTTTCATTGGGAGAAATAAGATCAAAGTAGTAAATCCTGATTCCAAATGTAAAGTTTGAATGCTATGAAACAATTCACATGCTCTCTCCTCAACACAACATTCCCGATAGCTCCTGTTGGCACAAAACCAATTTCTTAAACTCAAGACTTTTCTTTAAGTATAAAACCACTTAAAATTCTTGAGAAACATCTATCATTAGTTTGAAAATAAAAATGCTTAATGGAGAAAAAAAAGGATGGATGCTAATGTAGTCCTTTTAGTGTGGGTTCCCTAGTGTAAATTGCTGATGGGGACTCCAGAGACCCAGGCAAGGAGTGCAGTTACCATCTCCAGTGGCAAGGAGGGCAGAGCTGGGTTTTGGGAGCTGCTATGGAGTCGTCCTTGGTACAGCTAAGGAAGCTCTTGCAGCTCTTGAGCTAAGAGCCCCTGAGTCACAGTTCCAGACTCTGATTGCCACTGATGGTGTTCAGTAGAGGGGTTACCAGAAGAAAACCAACCATCTTTCTAAGATCGTGGTGTATAAAGGGCATGGAGCTCCTGAAAAGAGTGTGCAGGGACCCTTCAGGAGTACCTGGCCTCTGACCACACGCTATTAGGTGTGAGTGGCATTAGAAAATGTCACTGCACAGTGTATGCATTACACTGAAAGCAGACCGCACTGTTGGTATTTGCTGAACATCTGTAAGGGTAGAATGCAAACAAATTTGAAATGTTTCACCCTGTGATTTCCTCAGCTGAAAGGAAAGAAAGGCTCAGCATTTATTTAGTGTCTTCTGTATGTAGAATGCTGGGTTAGACATTTGAAAATATATCTATCACTTAATCCCCTTTGCAAAAAAAACATTGTTTGGTAGAAAATAAAATACATCCCAATGGAGTTAGTGTTGGATAAACCAGAAGGACCAAAGGGGAAGAGAGGAAAAGCAGAGCCTGTGACAGGGATTTAGCACAGAGCAAGAAAGGCCCTTCTGTGTGGCTGGAATAGTGTGATTACATAACAAGCAATTAGCAGGAAGATGGCTGTCCATTTCCAAAGGCAGAATTGACCTGTATGTGCAAAACAAATAAAAATACAAAATGGCCAGGCATAGTGACACATGCTTTTATGGTCTCCATAGTGAGTTCCAGTTCAGCCAGGGCTGACATGACCTTGTCTAATAATGATGATGATGATGATGATGATGATGATGATGAAAATGAAGAAAAGACTAAATTTAAATGCAAAAACATAAAATAGTTCTTATTTGGCTACCTTAGCCATTAGCTGAGGAGCCAGTGTTCCCATCCTATGCCCATGGAGAAGAGCATGGTCTGCCATAGCTTGGACTAGACATTCCCCCATGAACTACAGCCAGGAACATCATAAAAGTGGATTTACTCACAAGATTCTGAGTAAATGTGACAGACAAAGTGACAGCTGTTTCCTTCTGAAATCAGGTACAGACCTTGTTGACAGCAGCCATTAGTGAGCACCACAATATGGCCTGGGTTGTTTTTTGTTTTGTTTTATTTTTGTTTTTCATGTTCTGTTTCCTGTTCCTGGAATATCTTTCTCCCATCCCATTTTATCCTGAAACATCTGATTGACCATCAGTCCCTCAACCCTTCGCCACAGACAGTTTTTACTATCCCTGGGTAAGAGTACTGACTGCTCAACTCAATTTACCCTAGCACTTTTAATTCAATTTTAAGTTCCTTAAAGAATAGGATTTTAAATGCCCCCTCCCCCTGAACAACTTTACAGGGGTCTCAGAAGATACACTATGTCTACAGAACACGAACTGTTCCCGAACTACAGGCTTTTCTCTCTTGCTTCATTGGTCCTGTACGATTTTGCTAAAAGTTCGCTTTATTTTAAAAAACCTCATGTTGAATAGCAATTTTAGAGCCTCTATGTGTCCATCCCTTTGGGTGCTGTTTAAGCTACAGCCCCACACAAAGAAAGCATTCAGAGGGGTCCATGCTTAGGCAATAGGATCCAACTGGACAGAGGCCTTGGTAGTATGAGATGCAAAAGATGCCCAAGAAAATCCTGTACCATATGAAAACCCCCAACAGTCTCTTAGGTACCTTTATTCCATCCATGTCTTCTCCCCAAGATAATCATGTTCTAGGAATAAGGGACCAGCCCACAGAGTTAGTTGGGCAGCATCCTAGCCAGCCTGTCTAGGCAACCACATGAATCCTCTTAGCCCAATTTTCTTCCTCCATCTTCTCAGACGACAGCTAAGTCACTCCTTCTTCCATAACATCTCTGTGATTCACCCCACTCATGCTAACATGACCTCTGTACATCTGTGCCCACTGTCACCTTTCTGATCACTACTGGCCTCACAGTGTTCCCTTCAAGTGCCATTTTTCCTTTTTGATCCAGGAGATGTTCCTTTCAGTACACTGCCTGTGCTCTGGTACCTCTAGGCCTGCAGTTTCTCATAAAATGGCTCCATCCATCCACCCACCCACCCATCCATCCACCCGCCAACCCACCTATCTATCCATCAATTAACAGGGCTTCAAATATCTTTGTTCAGGGATAAGTTGCAGTCTCCTTCCATACATGGACATATGATTCTCAAGTACCATAGTATAGGCATGTACATCCCATGAGCTCTTCTTTTTCTGAAGCTATCCTTTATATACTTAATCAGGTGCAGCATTGTATCTGAAGCAGACAGGTCCCATGAATAGATATTAAATTCATGGAATGAGCTTATGTTCCTTATTGTATGAGGTGCCCTGTTGTTACCACATTGTATCCATGGAGAGTGAGTGCAGACACTCCAAGTTAGAGCAGATGGCAAGTTCACCCATTAAGGTATGCCCTTAGCAAGGCCATGGGCATCTGTTGGGTCTCTTTCCAAGGAGTAAGTGGCTTTGATACATGGTACATTGGACAAGACATGAAATATGCCATAATGTCCTCCATCTTATGCCGAGGAATGCAGCCTGTCAATTCCTGACATAGCAAAGAAATCACACATGGAGTTATCACAAATGATAATCAAGGAATCCGAGAGAAGTTTTTACTGTTTATGTCTTGCCACTGCCAGTCTCTTATCAACCCCTATGTTATACTGATTAGAGTTACATATATACCTATTGAATGAATTTATACTCATATCTATTAAATTAATACATTGTGGACAACTGGAGAAAAAGGCATTAGTAAATATTCACCTTATGGCTGTTCATCCCTATAGTTTAAAGGGGACATTTACAGCATATGTGGCTTTCCCATCCCTGAGTTCAGAACTGTAAGGTTTTTCATAGATGAAAGGAACACAAAATTTTTCCTTACAAGATTGATAAAGGATCTGATGAGGTAGAACTTGGACACTTAACACAACAAAGGGTTTATCTGAGAGCAGGGAGGGTAGCAGAATGCCATCAGGGGCTTCCTTTCCGTGTCAATTATCATGTATATAATGTGTCCTCTGCCACAGACAAAGATCTGTGTACCTAAAAGAATCTGGATGATTTAGATTGAACAGCATGGAAAAGAAGCCTCCAATGGTTGTGAATGACATTCTGTTCATCTCTTTTCTCTAAACTCCTTGTCATATTAACCTAGGTAGTTACAAAGGAAATCTACATACTTTTTGTTTTCTTGTAAAGATAATGTGTGTCTATTATGTTCTTGGTACAAAATACAATACAGATAACCAAAGGTGTTGTAAGCAAATCCTCAAGAGGAGAGCTGGGTTCCTGGAAAACCATCCAACTCTGTGACTGAACAGTGCAGCGGTTTAGTGATCACTAGGTCGGGTTCGCTTATCATTCTAAACGAACACACTGAAGACTGCTCAGCCCTTGCTTACCCATGCTGCCCAGTGGAGACCTCCCTTTATAGAACTACATAGGATTACGGGCCTATGACTAGAGTACCAGGGATTATCAGAAGTGCTAGATACAGCCGGTCTGCATTCACAGGACAAGGGCACTGACTACCTGAAAAATCTATTCCCAGATGGACGTGGACGCTGAGGAGAAGCGCCATCGCACACGGTCCAAAGGGGTTCGAGGTAAGTTCACTTCCCCATGTCTCTGAGACTGGCGGGGGGACTTTTATCCCAAAGAACTGCTGTGGCAGTTTGCTCTGACCCCCCCAGCAGCACTACCCTTTTGGTAATTTTCCATGGGAGAAAAGTACCTGTGACACACAAATCAAATAAATTTTTATGTTTTCCATCTTTCTGCAGTTCCTGTGGAGCCAGCCATACAAGAGCTGTTCAGGTTAGTGCTTTTGGGGGGAGAGGTGTTCCCAGCAGCAGTTTAGAAAACTTATGCCTCTGAATGGGTATACTGTACTTATGAACTCAATGGCAACTTGCTCATAGCCTGCTATCGTGAAGAAATTAATTCTCCTGAATCTGCAGATAAAAATCATTCCTGTATCTCCTCTCTTGGTCAGTGATCTTTCCCTTTTCCTCCTCTGTTGGTCCTTCCCTCCCTCTCTCCTTCTCCCCTCCCCCTCCCTTCCTCCCGACTCTTTCTCTCCCCCTCTCCCTCCCTCTCTCTCTCTCCTCTCTCTCTCTCTCTCTCTCTCTCTCTCTCTCTCTCTCTCTCTCTGTCTCTCTCTCTCTCTGTCTCTCTCTCTCTGAGAGGCCTACTGCCATCAGTGCCCACAGAAGCCCATGCAGCTATATAATCAGCTCTTTCCTGTTGCAGCTGTCCCACTCCAGGCTGCGATGGCAGTGGTCACGTCAGTGGCAAATATGCACGACACAGAAGGTAATGCCTGCCTTTTTCACAATGTGCTGTCTAAGATGGCTTGTTTAGAGACCCAGTGCAAGTGAAGACATGTGGGTAGGTGTTTGGGAATATAATGCATGCTCCCCTTGTCTTCTTTTCTCTTACTTCTCCATGAACTCCATGTGCCATACAGTTCTCCAAGCACAAGCCACTCCACGTCACAATGTTGACAACAGCGTACACATTGGCACAGACTATGATGAGCCTTACATTCTCACCTGTGAGTCCATGCTCAGCATGCAGAAGGCTTTGGCCTTTCCATGATCCATGAGGAAGGCTGAGCCCTTCCCTCTGACCTCACTTCTACTAACTGAGGACAGTGAACCTCAGGAGATAGACTAACGCAAGACCTGTTGAGCTTTATAAAGAAACTTTGGTCCCATCATCTAAGAGATCTTGTTCTGGGCTGCAGAGTGAGGCGATACCCAGACAGCTGGAGGGAATGCTCACATGGGATGAGAGTTAGGACAGATCACACCCATAGTCCTGAAGACAGGTGGCCTTGTTACTCTCACAAATACTAGGTCTCGAATCCCTAATGGTGAGGGGTATGGAGAACATCTGGAAGGAATTTAGCTAAAAAAAAAAAAAATGCACCAGGGCAAAAGCACCTTACATACACCTGTGGCCTGCTGTCATACCTATGTTTTGTCTTCACATCTGCTCTGACAGGAAACACAGAAGGGTCCTACTGTATGAAGGTCCCAGACATGATAGGTGAGAAGTGCCTGCAAGTTGTGATGATGCTGTTCTCACTTATTTTTCCCAAGTCATCCTGTTCAACAAGCTGTCTGTTGGCCAGACTGACATTGGAGTCCGTTGTTGCCAGAGATACTCAGGGTGACCTCTCCTTTATCCTCATTCTCTATTTCCTCTGCAGTGAAACAGTAATTTTGGGGTAAAATCAAGCTATTATTTTGATTGTGACTTTGGGAAATCAAAGGGAAATTCATGAATCATTCCCCAGATCTCCATGATGGCACAGAAGGACACAGGGGATTGCTCAATGAGCATCCATCACGAGATGGCCATCTGGTTTCCCCAAAGGAGGCAGGGGCCACTTTTCTCTAGAAATTTTTAAATTACTAAGTTTAACATGTTACATCACTATTCATACCATAAAAAGTTGTAAATTTTTGAATCAGGTAATGAGACTAGTAACTAAAATGTAAATTTTGCTCTTTGGAGAAGTACACGATTAAGGTCTTAGTCTGTGTGCTTAAAGACAGCATTGTGTGCTCAACAGAAAAATAGTTGGCAAACAGCAGGCAGCGTCTATTTTCTCCTAATCATCTCTTCATTAGCTGGTAGTTAAGCTCTATCACAGCTATGAAAATAGATTATTAAATTTGGTTAACAAATTTTAACTGGGATTGTGCTGGATATCATTTCTTAGCCACAGTTTTGCAAAGAAAAGAAGAAAAAGAAAGAAATGTCTAAGAATAATTGCAAACATTCATGTAGTTTTTATTCTGTGAACAAACAATTGTTGTACTATATGGGGTTGTGTTGTGGTATTTCAAGGTATGTTCACAGCAAGCACTGATCAAGTCAGAGAGATTAGCACTTTCTTCTCCTACCATCTCTATCAGATTCTTCACTAAGGTGAATTCCTGGAAGGTGTTGGTTGATGCGGCCATGAGGGATGTATATCCATTTCTTCCTTGGTTATGTACTCTGCTTACACATGGTTTCTGAGGGTGATCTGAAGGCAGTTTGGCCTCATTTCCCAATTCAGGGTTGACTCTGGCATGAAGCACTCAGGTGGACTATGAGGATAGACACAGAACCATGCCAGTTAGAAAAGTTTCCCACAAGCCTGTTCATATAAAAATGATGGTAACATTTTATCCTGAACTCATTCCCTCTGTTTGAATTGAGATGTTCACCAAAAAAATACACAAGCAATGTGGTATGGGTAGAAACCAAAGCTCCAGTCTGGAGACCTGGATTCCAGCTTCCCCTGTGCCACTGATGACCTGAGGCCACAGGACAGGTTGGCTGTGAACTCCAGAGTCTTCAGGACACTGGTGAGAACTGCCAAGCAAAGCCAAGAGATTATACATTTTAACATCTTGGAGCTGCCAGTATATCAGGGTTAGAAGATTTTGGTTGTGTCTAGCTTTGATTTTTCTGGTTTTAAAGTAACTGCTGGCTGTAGTATTTCCCGCTCCTGAGACCTGTCCATTCTCACTATACCAGCACACAGTTCACCGAGGCAGTTGTGGTGCCTATAAGGGATGTCTGATGTGACTTAGACATGGGGCTTGTCTTATTCGTAGACAGACATGGGAGCCACAGCCTGGCATGGATGAAATTATCTGCCCTTTTCATCCTTTTAGGCGTGTATTTCTTGTCAAGTGCTTTCTCCTTAAGGCTGCAATTTCACTTAGCTTCTATGTCCCCCCAGTCCATGGTGTTATTTTAATATGTTGAAGTGTCTCTTTGAGCATGCACAAAATGACTTGAGGCAGATGTGGGCAGTTCATGTTGTAAAGAAAAAAGAAATCAGTGTGTGTGGAGGAACCCAAGGTAAAATGGTACCTATTAATTATATAGTCCTTTAATTAAGAAAATCAATATTTTCTCACCCTTTTAGTTTGCTATCTGTGCTTTTTAGGCACAAAGGGTGAGGCTCTGCGTGTTGGTCAGTCTCCTTGTGGATGCTGACTCTGTCACAGCAGATGGGTGTTCTGGGGTGATGGAAACAGAGGTGTGGATTTCAGAGAAATGGGGAATACAGTAGAACCAACCACTAGATAAAACCTAGGAAAGGAGACAGTAAATTGAGAATATTTTACAATTTAAGATTTGGATTTAAATATTAGGGTCAGAGTAGGATTATAATATGCATTTGGGGATGTTTTGTATCAATTCCTATACTGTGTCTTAACAAAAGACAAACTGCTTGTGGCTATTTATTTGTTTGTGTTAATAGCTCACAATAATTTATGGACTCTGGAAAACCTACATCCAACTGCACAATTTAATGGTAAATTGAAATTAAGCTAGTATAACCTATAAAGGAAATAGAAGCATAGAAATGCAGGATATATCAAGTTCATACAGTACTAAGTTCAGTATGAGTCTTCTGGCAGCCAGGGCAATGATGAGAAACATAAGAGATAGACTCTCAGGTGTCTGACACAGCATGACATCAGTCCCTCTGAGCAACACCCTCTTGGCACCAAGCACTAGGGTATCTCAATGGATTGCTGACAAAGGGATCCATCCTCAGCTGACATTTTGGTGCCCCCATCGGCTAATCTGGGCTTGGCTTCTCAGAACACTAACAGATAGGACACACGGTGACCTTCAGAACTGTCAAAAGTCTGTGGACACAAGTCTGCCTTTTGTCCCATACATGGTTTCATGTCACTAGCTGTGAATATGTCAAAGACATGCATGCAAGGATGGGACCTGACAAAGTGTACCCTGAGGATTGGAGGCAGTTCTTATATTCTGAACCTTCTGGTCTCTTCTATACACAGTGAAGATGGCCTCCTTTTATCACCAACACTGTCACACTGTGTATGGCTCTGTGTGTGCAGCTTCCCTGCTCCTCTACTATGCTAAGATTTCCTACCTTGTGCTAAGAGGATGTCAGAGATAACCTGAGAAGCCCAAATGTACAGTCTAATTGGATCGTTGCTTCTCATTCTTTCTGAGTTTCTTCAGGGTCGTCTTAGGTCCCAAAGCCTGGCTGCCACTGCACTCTCCACCCCACATGCCCAAGCTGGCATGTAGGACCTGTGGACATTCAAAGTGCCAAAGACTAGAGCTCTCTTGCATGCCAGCAGTTAGGTTTTGGTGGGAGAAACGGAACATCTGTAAGTCACAGACATAACATTCATCAAGTTGCTATATGGCTTTCTCCTGGCTTTACCGAGTAGGTGAGGACCCGAGGTTTAACAACTCAGCAAGTGGCTCCCTGGGAGCAACTCTGAAAATGTAGAAGACCCTAGCAGAGGACAGGCATAGAGTGGGAACTGGTTCTGTGCATTGCTGGTGTCCTCCCCTAAACTGAATGCTGATTCTCTGTGGTTGGGTTGCTGACAAGTGAAAGAAACCCCTGCCTGTCTGGGTTGTGAGAGTGTGGGGATGAATGTGAGTTGTGTGACTGTGGATGTGAGTGGGAGTGGGTGTGAGTGTTGTTCTGTGAGCGTGGGTATGAGCCTGGGTTGTGTGAGTGTGGTACCTCATCAAAGGCTTTGTCATTCATCTGGAGTGCTTTATGAGCTGAGCCTGAGACACAAGCTATAAAGCCGAATGTCAAAAAATTTCCACAGAAATCTATTTTTCATCCTCAAAATACTTATTACTTTATTTCCATTAATATCTTAATAATTTTTCCAACAAAAAATTAAGTAATAATGACATTTTATTAGTATTTACTAGAGTGATATTAAATGCTGTGTAAGAATTGGAATTTTAACTTCACTCACAAAAATTGTTAGGTGTATATGTGTGAAATGAATTATATTTGCTTACGTATAAATGATTTCTGTAAAAGCCTCCCACACACACAAGGGGGAGAAGTAAGGGGCACACAGCCCGGACACATTTACTACCTGTGTGTTTCATGAGGCCTTCTGGACTGATTTGACAGTTAAGCGATTTCATTTACATTGAGATTTTTTTTTAATTACTTATTAGTTAAGCATGGATTCCTGCTTAACTAACATGTTAAGCATAACTTAGCCTTGTAGTCTCTGAGCACTTCACAAGCACCCTGAAGTTAGCAGATGAGAATAGCTATATTTCAGCCCTCTCAAATTTAGAAAACACTAGGCTAAATCTTTCAGTTCACATTTTTAAATTTACAAGCTTCAAATGGTAGCTTTTCTTTCTTTCTTTTTTTTATTAGGAAATTACTGGGTCCTCTCTCTCTGGCTTGTTGTGTGTACTCCTTGTTCAAATTCTCTTCCATTTCACGCACCTTTCTGCCCACCAGTATGATTGCCAGGGCAGCCGGTGGG